TTGAGAGGTCCCCTTCTCCTAGTACGTCTGTGGGGGTGACCACACCTCCTGATCTTTGGGCAGTGGCCCCATCTCTGACACAACATGCCCAAAAGTGTGTGAGGCGAACCTTCAGCATTCTTTGCTACCAAGGAGCACCCTGGCTAGACTTTCTCCAAGACGTATTTGTTTGTTCTCAGTCTGTGGGATATTCAGGACTTTTCTCCAACACCACAACTCATTTTCCCTTCTGTCATCCTTAGTCACTGTCCACCTTTTAGATTCATTGAAAGTAATTGAAAAGGCCATGGCTTAGCTCAGTGTACCTTAGTCTTTAAATGTACATCTTTGCTCTTTAGTACTTCAGAGAGGTCTTTGACAGCAGTTTTTCTGAATGCAACACATCTGTTGATTTCTTTACTGCTGGTGGTGACAACAGTGGTGATTTATGAATCCAGGCAAGATGAAATAATTGACACTTTTTGCCTCTTCCCTGTGTTATTAAGGTGTAATCCATATGGAAGTCTGTAGTCTTTGTTCTTATGCGGCAAACTGTTCAAGTCCTCGCTTTCAGCAAGCTAGATTATGTCATCTGAATGATGAGGCTTCCTCTGATCCTGATGCCTCATTCTTCTTAAAATCTAGAATGATTTGCTCAATATACAGATTGAATAATAGGTATAGAGAAAGATACAGCCCTGACACACCTGATTTTAAAGCATGTAGTGTTTACTTGCTCAATCTACCAAAAGCCTTTTCCAGGCACTTTAGACTTTTACTATTGGGCATCTTAAAACTTCCAGCCTGTACTCATTACCCTTTTCTAACACTGTTTGCACATTTTAGGTTTCTCTCATAGCACCACACTTGTGGTGCCAGATTCTGTCTTAGTTGCCTAGTGTTGCTGTAAGAGAAGTATAAATGGGTGGCTGTAGCACAAATTTATTTTCTCTCACCTTGAGGAGGCCAGATGACTGCATTTAGGGTGTCAGCTCTAGGAAAAGACTTTTTTCCTCTGTCAGCTCTGGAAGAACATCCTTTGTCTTGAGCTTCTGCTCCTGGTTGATCCTCATGTTATGTGATATCTTTCTTCTCCCACCTCTGCTTGCTAGCTTGCAGTTAACCTCTTTTGTACCTCAAAAGAATTGACTCAAAACTTACCCTACACTAGCTTAGTGCCAAAGGAGTTGTGCTGCCAACCCAAAGGCATGCAGTTTGAACCAACCAGTTGCTCCACAGGAGAAAGATGAGCCATCTCCTCCAGATAGTTAACAGCCTCTTAAAACTTGCTAGAGGATCCGCCTGCTTCGGTTCTGACTTGACGGTCCATAACAGCAATCCTCTTGTCTCTGGGAAGCTCTGATAGGCTAGTGGGTAAAGAGTTGCAGGACCAACTCCAAGATAAGCAGTTTTAATCTACCAGCTGCTCCACAAGCAAAAGATGGGCATTCTTTTATGCAATTTACAGTATCAGAAAACCCACTAGAGGGCCAGCTGAGTCTATTCAATGTCCATGAACTGATTGTTGAATAATATCTTATTAACATAACAGAGATAACTTATTCCTAAAAGGTATTATAACCAAAAGTTAGGATTTATAACACATATTTTAGGGGGACACAGTTCAAACCATAACCCATGGCAAAGGAAGTTTTAACAACAGAAACTGTTCAATAATAGTGTGACTTTACCTGATAGTGATGAGATTCCATGCTGTAGTTTTCCAAACAGGTAGACAAGTAAAGGTGGTGGTGGTGTTGGGTACCGTCAAGTTGAGTAGGACTCATAGTGACCTCATGAGCAACAAATATGAATCTCATCCTATCCTGTGCCATCCTCACAATCTCTGACACATCAGGCCCATTGCTGCAGTCACTGTGTCAATCTACCTGTTTGGGAGCCTTCTCCTTCACCGACCCTCCAGCCTCCCAAGCATCATGTCCCTCTCTAAGGAATAGCCTCTCCTAGTAACATACCCGAAGTGTGTGAGGCAAAACTTTTTCATCTTTGTCTCCAAGGAGCACTCTGGGTGCGCCCTCTCTAAAACACAGCTGATTTTTTGGCAGTCCATGGAGTACGCTTTGGCAGTCCATTCAGTACTCTTATCTAATACCGTACTTCAAAGGCATCAATTCTAATCCTTATCAAACTCCTTCCACACCATCTTGAGGACTGAAGTTTTCTGGAGGGTAAATGAAGCCCTCAGGCTGGAGGCATCCCCCATGGTCCACTGGGTTCCCTACACTAGCTCATGCTCTCCCTCTACTGTCAAGAGAAAGCCACCTCAGGCCTCAGCATCATCACTTCTTGCAGGGACTACATCTCGCCCAACATCTTCTACCTGGCAACATTTTTTGAGGAGCAGGCTGTCCAAAATATTTAGGGAAACTGAGACTGAAAGAAGGGAAGCAACTTGCCTTCGTGGAAGAAATTTCACGAGTTGGCTTCTCTGCCTTCCAAGGTCCTTAGTGACTAGATGGAAATGGAACTTTCGGGTTTTGTTTGTTTTTTTAAAAAAAACCTGTTGCCTACACCTCTTCAGGAGAACATCCTGTGCCTGAGGAGAGTATGCCAGCAGTTAGGAAACACATGATGTGCTGGATGCAAGGTCCAGCCAGACCTTCAGTGTCTCCTTCTTACCATTTCTAGGTGTATTAAGCTCCTCTGCTGTCAGAGAAGTCATTCAAATGCCCATGTTTCCTCAAAATTTTTTCCAATTTAAGGTTTTCACAAAGTAGATCTTTCCTTGACATGTATTTTTAAAGCCGTAATGATGAATTTTGATTTGTTTCTGAGGTGTCTTTTGGATTTTTTTTTCTAGATCAGTGGTGTAGTGTAAAATCACCAGTGTCTTCAAATACAGTATATATGGTAGTTTGAGGTTTGATGCTGGGGCTTTGAAACTGCTGAAGCTGTTTTCTGGCATCAGTTAAAAGAACATTGTGTGTATCTGCAGTTGGGAAAGTGGGTATCTCTCTGCAATCAGATCCTATCAACAAAGACGTGAGGTTGAGTTGTCAAACTTTGCATGGCATTTAATCATAGGGGAATTCTTTTGGAAACTGGTCATCCCAGCCTTTGCTTCCCTGAGCCTCAGTTTTCTCATCTGTGCTTTGGAGGGATTTGGTCAGATGTTGTCTGCATCCACAACTGCTAGAATTTCCTGTTGACTCATAGGGTCATGCCCCCTACTTCGTTAGTAGTGGGAGGTTTGTGATGCATGCGCCTTGCTTTCGAGATCCCTGAGTGTTTGGGGGTTGCCTGGAGACAAGTGTCATTTTGTAATTTACCCGACCTAAAGCCTCAATCCCTGCCCTCCTGTCCCGGTTTTTTGCCTCTAGGTTTCTAGAGGAAGAGGTGGAGCTGTTGAAAAGGAGAGTGCTTTGTGTCACTGTCAAGGAGCACACAAGTTTGCCTGGAGCTGCAGACCCTTCTTAGCAGTTTAATGGATGGCTTTCCCTTGCGCTTGCTCATGCTCAAAGGCCTGTGTTGTCCTGTAGTTAAAGCCCTTTGAAGGATTAGGACTGCCTTCCCTTTTGTGTCTCTGAGCCTTCTGCTCAGCCAGGGCCCCACCCTCTCTCTGCTCTTCCCAACCAGTAAAAGTCAGGGCAGCCCATTTCCTTCCTGCAGAAAGAGAATCAAGGCCTGGACCCAGCCCAGCCAGCCTCACCGTGTCCTGCTCCCCAGCGCGCCTCCCAAGTGGCTCTGACCCTGGGTTCTTCCAGCTTTGTCAGTCAAAGCTGTGTGTGGGCTGTCGGCTGGGATCAGCCTTGAGTCTGGCCTTTAATTTGCCATTTGGCTTTATGTAAGATCCCCTCGTTTTACCCTCTGAGCTTCTTTTTCCTCTCCTCTCGCCAATATTTACTCTTTTTTGTTTTTGCCAATTTTGCTTTTGCTAATACTGTTAAATACATGTTTTGCATTTAAAAACACACAAAAAGATGCAAAGAATCCACAATCTACTACTTTAAAATAACTTTAAGATAGAGGATTTGTAAGTGTGTAGGGAGATGGAAGCATAACTTCTTTATTTTAAAAAAATTCCCAAAACAACAACAAAACAACCCAACAGTGCTCTTTAGGCTAGATCAGAAAGCATATATACAGTGCCCAGGTTACACAGGCTAGCTTCCTGCTTCTCTTTGCCCTCAAAAGTATGTGGATTCATGAATTCCTGGAGAACTCATGAGAATGTAGAGATCACGACCTCTGGCTAACCCAGAGATTCCAACCTCACCCCATCTTTAGACCAATATGCCTGCCTAGGGTGGGTCTTGGTGAGGAGATGTTTTCCCCATTCTCAGTGCCTTCTGGCTTGCCAGCCTTCATAGTGGTAGAGGCTTTGTCCTTGTCACACGTGTACTTCTCCAGAGCCCTTCTCGGACCTCGGGCAGTGCTTGGACCTGGTCGTTGATCAGTAAATAGATATGAGCAAATACAAGAGAGAATGTTTGATAGGACTTTGAAGTATCTGTAGGATTTTGATAGGGTGAGACAACTTGAAGAACATTCCAACAGAGGGACTGGCATGAATAAAGGTTAAAGGGTGGGAAAGGGCCGAGGCATAATTGGGGAAACTCTGACTAAGTCGTTTTGGTAGAGTGGAGAGGTAAGCATGTTATTTCTGTACTTGTTGGACTGGTTCTTTGTCTCCTGTCCTGCACCTTGCACACAGGACCTCCACAGAAGTTTATTTACTGAGTCAGACCCAGGACTTGTGTGTACACAAGATGACCCTTGGGCCTTTGTCCTGGAGAAGCATGGTGACCCCTGGCTCCTTGGCACATTGAGGGAATGAGTATTTGAACCCAGTGCCATTCTGGTTTGCACCTTCCTGGCAGCAGCATTGTTCTGTTTTTCATCTGCTTTAGGGACTTGATGAGTTAGCAGTTCCCAAGGGAACAGTGTGGGTGGGGGAACAGGGAAGGGAATGGCAGCTTGACCAGGCTGGCAGCTGGGGCCTAAGCCAGGGCCTTTGCTTCTCTTGGCACTTATGATGGGCCCTACCCTCTGTCCCACAGGCTGGAGGAAGTCCCTCTGGAGGTGCTGAGGCAGAGGGAGTCCAAGTGGCTGGATATGCTCAACAACTGGGACAAATGGATGGCCAAGAAGCACAAAAAGGTGAGGGGACCTGGGCCTGCTGTCTCGAGCTAGGAGTTGGCAGCCTGGGGAGGTGGAGCGAGAGGGCGGAACCGTAGCAGCCTATGGGAGCAACAGGAGCTTCTTCGATGGATGAACTGCCTTAGGTTTCTTTCCTCACATCCCTGCATCTCTGAGATGGGGACAGAAGCTGGCTGAAAGGCAAGTCTTCACTCAGGCCCTCGTGGACAACTTTGGATCCAGTCATACTTCTAAACCCCTTTTAGGCCACAGCCCTGGTAGACAGCTTTTCTCCAGCCCTGCTATTGAGTCAGGCCGCTTAGCACCTATCAGGAAGGACCTTATAATATTGTTTATAATATAATGCTGATCATAAGCTAGTGTGTGCTGAACAGTTGCAGTGTGCCAGGGACTAAACTTAATCCTTCATACAAAACACCGATGGGGGAGGGTGGGTGATAGTCATAGCCCCTCTTTCCAGACAGGCATAGGCTAAATTGTCTGTAGAACTGAGATTTCAGAGCCTACATTCATATCCACTGCAGTAAGGTACCTTAAAATTGGCTGGCTTCTCTTTCACCTCCTGGTCAAAGCAAAGAGAAAGCAAAGTACCTTCACTGTAGAAAAGAATCATCTTAGCAAAATGAAACTGCAATGGTCTTTTTTTTTTTTCATTTAGGCTGTTTTCAGAGTAGGACATGGTAAGGATAGCTCTGTCCTGCCGTAGGAGTGCTCTTGCCAACCACTTGTGTGTATGGTGATCCTCTTGGCTGCCTGCCCTCCGCAGGTGCTCCATGCTCTTTGACCCATACAGGCTCTGGCTTCATCTTCAGGCATGCTCTCCCACTGTCATCAGCTGACATCCTGGTCTGGTCTAGAATGACACAGCTGGCTGCAGGGCCTGGCAGAATGTGCAGCTCAGAAACCAGATGTGGGCATAGCCCTACTCCACTCCTTTCCTGTGTCCTTGTGGCTAGCTGTGTAACTTCGGACAAGGCCCTTCACACTTTGAGCTTCAGTTCCACTTGTCAAGTGAAAGCAGTAATCCTGTTAAACAAGTCCTGTGACGTAGTGACTGAAGTGACGCCCTCAGAGACTGTTAAGCCCTGTGCCAGAGATGAGAGGCCCATCCAGGCAGGTCCTTTTTTAATATTCCCCATGAACTTTGGAGCATTCATTTTCCTCTTTGTTTATTAGAAAATTTTTCTCTTTTTCTCCTGAGAACTTTCCTCAATTCTTCCTGCCTGACTTAGGTGTCTATGTTCCTGCCTCCTCACTTCTCAGGCTTTTGTCTAGCTTTGGCTTGTTCTCTGACTGTCTGTCATAGTGACTTGTGGCTGGCCAAGGGTTATAACTCTGACATTATCCGTGCCTTTCTTGCAAACAGAATCTAGCGTGGAGCCTTGGGGAGCTTCCCCCAACCTCCACAAAGCAGCCAGCAGCACTTCCTCTTCCCCTTTGTTACCCTGGCACTGTGGTTAGCCTGAAGGCTGCTCCTGCTCAGTACAAACATACTTCTCCCCACCCCACCCAGAGGCCTTGTCCCTCTGCTCCACTGAGGTCACTGTGCTGCCTCATCTGACCATACCGGCCCTACCCTGGGACCTCTTCCTGCTTGGCCATGGAGGCTTGGGCTTCCTTTTGTTTGCTTAGGAAGGTCAATACCTGTCACCAGAAGTGGGCCAAGACCCAGTACTCTTCCTGGACTCATCCTGAGGCCACAAGAAAAGGGCCAGGCTTGCTGGAGGGTGCATTCTCCAGCCTCAGCCTGTCAAGGCCAGAACTGTGCAGTAGGGAAGCCAGCTGTGGCAGAAACGTCTTCTCTGTGGTTCTCTGCCCTGGGTCTGCTCTGTCTATAACCCTGCTCTCCCAAATTTGGTAGACAAGGGTGTGGCCTCACTCAGCTGCCATTAGAGACCTCCTTTCCCAAGTTGTAGACTCAGAAAATGGTAATCCCTTGGCTATCTGCTTGCTGGAGCATTTTCTCGTGCTGTAATCTTTATTGATCCTCTCTTGCTCCCTTCTTGCTACAGGCAGGGTAGAGTATACCATCTCCTGTGTGGTGCTTTAGAGGGCACCCAGGCCTAGAGACTTGCCCTCTTCCTGGTCTCTAGCTCCATAGAGGAGCCACCCTGAGCCCTGGATGCCCCTGTGTTGAGGATAGGGCCCAGGGAACTTTCCTTGATGAATGGTATTTTGGGAGACTGTGCTGATGAAGGCCTGTGACGCTGGGCCATCCCCATGCTACAGTCTGCTTATATGAAGAGGCATCTTAAGGAGACACTCTTGTCCCACAGAAGTAGGGAACAGTTCCCAGAGTCCAGGGCAGTAACCTTCCTCTTCCCGCTTTCCAAGCTGTCCCAGAGCCTCCAGCTGTGACCCCACAACTACTCTCCCCCCTCTACCCTCGCCTGGCTGCCTGTCCCTTTCCTGATCCTTGGTTCTAATTGACCTTTGGAAAGTTTTCTCTTGCTTACACTTGTCATCAGGAACACTCAAGCTTCTATGCCCCTCCTTTGAGACCTTCCACAGGGACTCTTAGGGGCTTTCCAGGCGAGGAAATGTTAGGTATGAGTGTGAGGCCTGGTGATTTTTCTGTCAGCTGAAGTCCCAAGATGGAGGGTAGAGATGATGGCATCATTTCTTGAGTAGATACAGTGTTAGGTCTGGGCTAGGTGCTTTGCTCCCTTCTAGTAGATCATAACAAATTGTGACTCACACTGAAAAGAATGGGAATCACAGAACACTTAATTATGCTCATGCAAAATCTATGCCTAGACCAAGAAGCTATTGTTTGAACAGAGCAAGGGAACATTGCGTGGTTTAAAATCAAGAAAGATGTGTGTCAGGGCTGTTTCCTTTCTCCATACTTGTTCAACCTGTATGCTGACCAGAATATTCAAGAAGCTGAATTTTGTGAAGAAGAATATAGCATCAGGATCAGAGGAAGATTCATTCATCAACAACTTGGATAATGCAGATGACACAGCCTTGCTTGCTGAAAGTGAGAAAGGTTTGAAACACTTGCTGCAGAAGATCAAAGACTACAGCCTTCGATATGGATTGAAGCAAAAATCCTCACCACTAGGCAACATCTTTCCTCTAGTATTAATAGGGTTTTTAAAGGCCTGTTCTTTAAGAAGTAGATGGCCAATCCTGCTTCCTGTTGTTGTTGTGTACCATCAAGTTGGAACCGACTCATAGTTGACCCTCCAGTGGGTTTTCAGAGGCAGTTAATCAGACCGGAGATTGCCCATCTTTCTCCCATGGAGCAGCTGGTGGCTTCAAACCGTGTACTTTTGGGATTGCAGCACAAGTTCTTGCTACTAGGCCACCAGTTGTTGTTGTTGTTATGTGTCGTCAAGTCATTTGCAACTCATAGCGACCCTATGTACAACAGCCCTAAACCCTGCTCTATCCTGTGCCAATCACATTGCCTCTGACACACCTATCCCGATT